CAAATGTTTTTGTTAATCCCTATGTAAGTTATTATAATCATGCTTGATGTGACTGAGATACCTGAACGATGTTCTTCAGGCGTCAGGATCAATAGACTTTTGTCACCCTAGACTTATCGGTCTAACTATAGCGAACAACTGAGGTGTGGGGTTGTCAATCTCGTATAGATATATACACAACTATCTCACTCTTCGTTCAGGAGACTCTGGTTATAATATAGGACTTAAAATGTACGCTAAGTAGGTACGGTGAAGAGAATGTATCACAAGAGCATCAACAAATTTACGTGAACTTTGATTCCTTTTCCTTGTAAAATGAAATAATTATACTTTGAATAATTATATGTTTTTTCTAAAACGAAGGTGGGGTGTTGTGACTCCCAAACTATACCAATTATAGCTTATCTTGTATGTTTGTTGAGACTATTTATATAATCTTTTATATAAATAGATTGTCTAGTGTCAAAATATGTAATCAAAACATCCCACCAAAATAATAAGTAACTATAATGTAACTATTTTTTCTAGAAAATCTATCTTTTAGTAAAAGTTTCCAAAACCATATGGTTTTACAAATCACACTTTCTTATGATATTATAACATAGGTTATGTTTGTTTTGTTAGTTTTACATTTTAAAACTAATATAACACACATATTTGGATAAAGCTAGTGTTAACCAAATCTTATGCAAACAATATCTTATATTTTACATCAAGATAAAACATGCAAATATTTGTATGATAAACGATTTTGACTTGTATTCCCCCACTAAAAACATGAAAAAGATTGAAAAATGTGGGGGTATGAACTCACCTTGGGGGGATTTTGATGGATGATTTAACGGGTTTCAGATGAAGATTTCGAGCTTGGCACTTCAAAAGAGTGGATGAACTTCTAGGAAAGGTTATTCTCCTAAGAATTTCAACACACAAGAATGTGTGTAAAAAATGGTGAAACTAACATAAAATCGTATGAAAACACGAGGGTGCCATGATATACTTACCAAAATAAAAATGACACTTGAAGGTGATAAATTCTTGAAGAAATTTCGGACTTGTCTAGAGATAAGAAGGGAGTTGAAGTAAGAATAAGATGGTAAGACTAGGCAGAACCCACTTTCGGCCGAGAATTATATAGGTGGGAGAAGATTCCTTCCTAGTTACTTGTTGGTTAATTACATGCCTTGCATGAAGACTTGATGGTTAATGGTATGATTTATATGGGAATATGATGGGTAATTGCATGCTTAACATGGAGGTATGTTGGGTAAAGGAATGTAAAGTTTTTTGGAGTTAATTATGTGCTTTGCATGGATGCTTGTGGGGTAAAAGCTTGTATTGCATGGATATGTGTTGGATAAAAGGATGTAAAGTTAGGAGGTCAAGCCACTAGGTTAAACCTTGGATTCTCCACCCAAACCGAGATCCTTTTTGGCTTAACCGAGAATGGGGTCTTTAGCCTTAGTGTGCCACCGAGAACTAAAGAGTTTTCGGTCCGACGGTATGGGTTCTCGGTTGCGAGCTTCTTGGCTGAATGGCTTCTTGGTCCACAGTTAAACACTCCTAACTAAAATTGTGATCTCGAAATTCTTGATTTAACTTAAAACATTCTTCATGCGATTTAAATTCTACTATTTGACTTTTCAAATGTGTATTACAACAAAGTTGTGATGTGGTTTCTACTTTGCTTGACCTGAAATTCTCCAGTTGTCACAAGTCACCATTAGTGTTTGGGTTTGGGAGTTTGGCTTATGGAAGGGTTTGAGGGATAAAGTTGGAAATTTTACTCATCAAGACCATGGGAAAGACCAAATCTGAGCCTTGGAGTTTTTGTAATTTGAGGAAAAGGGACATAATGGTTTAAGTTGTATAGAAGAATCACCACGACATGCTTGAGGTCGCCACGATGTGGTGACTTGGTCCAGAACCATCAGTTTTGGCGGTTTATGACCACGACGTGGCTAAGGAGGCCATGATGTGGTACTCGTTGGGTTGACTTTTGACTTTTGATTTTGACCTAGATTTTAACCAAAGTTTGACCTATGGGTATTTAGGGTCTTGTGATCTGTATTATGAGTTTTGGTCGCTGTATTTATAAATGTGACCGATAGATTCGATTCCAGAGTAGTATGTTGTTTCAGTTTCTCATTTGTCTGTGAGGTGAGTCTTCTTACAGTATCCATGGGTCGAAGGCACCGATATCGGCCCATTATTGTTTGTATATAGGGTGATAGCTATTATGTGGCTTATATGAGTTTGTATGATGGGTTGAAATAAACCTGAGGGAAGAGCCTATTATTTTATGTTTGGGTTGAAAGATACCCCACGATAAGGCCCCAGGGCAGGGTCCATGTTTGTTGATTGGGTTGAAATACACCCCAAGTGAGGCCATAGGGCGGGGCCCTATGTGTATATCGGATTGGATTATACCCCAAGGTTAAGACCAATTATATGTTTTGGTATGTGTTACTTTGATGAACTCACTAAGGTTTGTGCATATAGTTTATGTTTATGGTTTTAGGTATTTCCGGTTCGAAAAGGAATGGCGCAGCGTGATGGCACAACATCCTCCCCTCATGATTTTTGCAGTTTGAGTAATTTTACTCTGATGTTTTGAATATTATATTGATGGTGGTTTTTGGAACAATTAATGATTAAAATTTATAGTCTTTGAATGAAAAATTTTATCAATGTTTTTGGGTTGTTACATGTGCACTGTGGACCATTCACCCAAAGTTTCCCTTGGGAATAGAAATATAATCTGATACCCGGTGTTGGCTGCAGGTCTCATCCTCCCTTATGGGGGCTTGCGAATTTTCCTCAACGGTCTATCTATGGACAAATTTGAGTTGCGACTTGGAGGCAGGATTCACATATCGATTACGTGGCATTTGCTCTACGAACCTTGAAGCTTGGCCCAACAGTCGCGCCAAATAACAGTCTCAGAGGTTGTATGTCGAGGTCATGCTCCTTAGCTACCTTGGCCCAACATCTTATCAACACCATTGCCATATAGTAGCATAACTCTACATAACATTAGTAGTAGCCTTGCTCTGCATAACATCATTAGCAACCCTATCCTACATCACATTGCCAGCAACAGTTACATTCTATGACATCGACCAGATCATACTCTCAAGAAGAAAGGAGTATGAAGCCATCCAGTGTTGCGTAAATCTATATCTACCTTATCACATAACACCACGTCTCTCATTTTCGAGGTTCGGTCATTCTATTTATCTCTTTAATGCATTCTCGTCTTGTCTGTATCCAGTCTAATGTCATTGGCCGCACCAATGACATCAAATTGGGGGGACTTGTTAGTGTATGGTCCATTAGCATGGCCCAAACATCAAGACTTGCCACGCCAGCCTTGTATGGTGCTCTCCTGGCGCTCTCTTGCAAGCCTTGTCTAGTACCTGCTCCTAGTGATCGCTTAGCGCCCACCCCTGGCGATCCCAGGAGGCCTTACCCTAGTTGGGCCTGAGTTGGGCTGGCCCAAGGCCAGATCTAACTCTCACTTGACTTAATTTTCCTTTATAAATATAACATAACCTCATTCTTAGAGGGGCACCTTTCCATGTGGCAGAAACCCTAGAGCCTCCATGGCTAAACACACACACCCAACACCATGGTGGTTCGCTCCGGCCAAGAAGAACCATCTCATATCTAAACCCGATCTAACTTGATCACCGGAGCTTATTCCTGGGGCACGGTCCCTGGAGAAATGCTTACAACTTTGCTATGATGATTTCTTGGGTATCTCGCCAGAAACTTGCTCACGGCATCACCTCCAGACTTCCGATCCGGAACCGACACAGAGGACCTGACGACCTCAGCACATGTCGCAACAGTTAGTTTAGTTCATTATAGTTAAGAGTTAGTTTTCCACTTTTACCCTTCTTACCTTTTGTATATAAACTATGTTTCTTCTATACTTCAACTTAACTTTTCATAATCGAAGAATTAGTACTTTTCCCTCTTCCCGTGTTCTATGTTTATCAAGATATCCAAATAGTGACTTGGCTAGGTTGGTGTGGGTAGCATTTTTATGTATTTAGGTGGATTGGGTTCATGGATTTCTTTTTGATAGTGTGTTAATGATATCGAGTTGATTGGTATGGGATGATCATGCATAGAAGGTTAATATGGCCATAATACGGAGGGTAGCAATGAAAGCTAGATGACACTTGGAAGGCTAAGAGGCAACTTTGGGAAGAGATTATATTTAAGCTTTGTTTCTTCATCATTTGTCATAACCCACTCTAAGATCTCTCTCTCTCTCTCTCTCTCTCTCTCTCTCTCTCTCTCTCTCTCTCTCTCTCCCCTATGAGCTTTCATTATAGTATGAAAGTTACTCATTGTAAACCTTCGACGTTTCTTCAATCATTTGGTTATGTTTGTCTTTGTAATAATTGTTACGTATAGGTGCGTTTGAAGTTTATGTATTTTGTTTGCTTTGAGATTTTTTCTGTAAAGGCTTTTGACATAAAAGTCCTTAAGTTTGGTAGGTCTTTTTAGTTTTGTCCATGTAACGATTTTTTGTTCGTTAATGTCCAAAATTTGCCAAGTTTTTTTTTCAGTTTTGTTCTTTTTACAAATCTTTGATGTTTTTACGTTAAGTACATTTTTCAAATTTGCAAAAAAAATCCTTAAGTTTTTAAATCTTATATGTTTTTATCCTAAATATGTTTTCCAAATCTGACATTAAAATCCTTAAGTTTGTTATATTTTGTTGGTTTTATCCCTAGCCACCTACTACTATTATAGGTAGCAAGGGCAAAAATGAAAAATAACTTGGAAAATTTTGGACATCAACAAATAAAAAATCATCATAGGGATATAACCAACAAAATCCGACAAACTTAAGGACTTTTAAGTCAAAAGCCTACACAATTGTTTTGATGATTCAATTTTTTTTTTCTGGAATAAAACTATGTTTCCTAAATAGAAACATAAATTACACTTTCATTCTTGTAGCACATTCCATTACACATAAATCACGCGCTGTAACCAACAATTTTTGGATCCCATTTCCCCATTATATGCGAGCTACACGTCTCTTTTACAGCTTCATCGACGGCTTTCTTTGAAACACCACTGTTGCATATGTTAGCGAATGTTCGTGTATGTTTCATGCCATACTGAGTCAATGATCCACAGTGTGTCTCAAATGTTTGAACCTTAATAAGTCAAAAGTTCAAAACGTTAATAGATGACCAAAAAAAAACTTAGGATAATCATGTTAAAAGAAATAAAAAGTTCAAAGTTAACTTTCCACCATGGATTTAAGACATTCCCAATCATCCACAAGGGCCAATCCTTCCTTCCTCACTGATCTGTGTCGGGAGCCTAACAAATAGTTGCTGATCATGTCGACACTTCTATCCAAATGCACTCTATACGACTTTATTTCATTGATTTTCTTTAGTAGTTCCTTCTTTTGTGATTCTTCTGTGGATTTCTTATACTACACAATATGAATTTCGCATCAGTTCATTTTTGCATACTTGTTTTGAAATTTTTATATCTGTTTGAATTCTACTTCTTTCTAGGTACGTACAAAATTCCATGCATACCTTTTGCCACATGGAATAAAGATCAGCATTTCTCTGGTCAACGACACCCATGGAACTGAAATATGAACCTGGATTCACAGACAAATTCCTAGGAGTTGAACCTTGATAAACTGAAACAGTCTCTTTATTTATACGTAGAGCTCCATATTCCATCACATGTGATCCCTGGTACGAATTGTTGTTGTATGTTCTCTTCTTCACCTACAAACATTTTGTGTGACTTTGTTCAAGGGAATTGTATCCTCTTTGTATCTTAAAAAGCCATTAATTGAAGATTAAATCAAGAAAACGGAAAAAATCTTAATACCAATACCTTCAAATATTGTTGTTCCAATGTTTCATGCCTTAAATCTTCTGACTCGCTAATTAAGAACCAAAACACCACAAACAAGGTCAATAAGTAATCAAATCAACAACCTTCACCAATCACTATATGAAAATTCATTTTTCTATTCTTTTATGGGTTAATTGCTAATGAAATGAAACTATATTAATTAATTTCATATTGGAGAAAAAGAAAATACCTGTCTTCCATCCATGAAATGCTGTATAAATCACCTAAGCAAGTATCGAATTCCGGAGGTGATGGAGGCTTTGTATCAGGACAATATGTGGCCCAACTATTCTCAATTGAACTTGATGCAGTTGTCACATAAATGTTTAGATCTTCGGGCAACATGCCTTCGAAAATACTTCCACTTTCACATGCTTCTACGTATATAACCTACGTTTACATTAAGATTATTATTCACTTTGTCATGATCAACCATCAGGTATAACCAATTTTGAAATTACGATTTACCATTTCATCATATGTACTTCTCGCATGCATTGTTTTCAGAACTTTGATCAAGTCATTCGCGTAAACAAAAGGCATGTTTGGCATCCCTATGGTAATTAGAAGGAGAAATATGTTAATAAATTAATATAAATTAGATGCAACTTAATTTGATCTTCTTCAAATGTAACAAAAGGTTGAAAAGTGATACCAAGAATTCCAGGGCCTCCATGATCAGAGTAATATATGAAGATTTTGTCGTTACGATTGCTTGCTACAACTTTCCCGCTTCCACCTTTAACAGCTGTTTTATTGCCAAGAAGCACATCGTACAAATTGGCTGCGGTTACACTTTTACCAGTGTAATCCTAACACAAATTCATGTTTGCATATTAAAAATTGTTATGTGATTAGATTCAAGTGATTCATACGTCGTGTTAAACACTATTCACAATTGAACTTAATTATAAGGTTTTTAAACGAAATAATTGGAAAAGAACCTGTTGCAGGAGATTGTGTACCAACAGTTTGAAATTTTGATAATCAAATAATGGTTGATTGAATGATTGACAAAAACTGATTATTTGGTTAAGTAATATTTTTAAAATATATAAATTTTAATTATAGCAATTTATTTATATAACAATTAGGTGTAAAACCGGTGTATTACACCGGTTGATTAAAGAAATAAAATATTAAAATATAAATAGTAAGTATTTTTTAAAAGAAAATTTTGAAATAAGAAAATAAAAAACATATTAATTGCAATTTATTATAATATTTATTACATTTAATACTTTACATATATAAGTATAAGATTATGTGATTTTTTAATTTTAAAAATTGAAAAAAAAAACATAAATTGATATGTAGATATTATTTATTTAAAAAATATCATAAAATGATAAATGTTAAAATTCATTAGAAATTAACATGTGATAAAAAAAAACATTTATTTATTAGAGATATGATTCTAATGTCTTCCTACCTACCTTGGTTTCTAATTAAATTGTTTAAAAAAACAAATGATGATACTTTTACAATATATTAATTAATAAACCCATAATGTCATCTTTTGCTCTGACGTAATAATTTTTTTGGTAAGAATTATTAAATATGAAAAATGTGCATCTATAATCTCATCATTTATTTATTAATAATTTACCTTTGTAATTTCCTAATTTACCTTTTTTAATTAGATAAAATTAAGAACTAAGAAAATATAATTTATTTATTAATAACTCTTTGTAATTTCATCATTTACCTTGTAATATCATCTTTAAAAAACGAGTTATGAAATTACTAATGATTGTTAAAATCACGATCTTAGGAATGAAAAACGATCCGGATCGTAAACGAATCGTATTTGGGGTAGGATTGTAGGTAGAATCGTATGATCGATATCTAATCCGTTCCTATCTTCCCTTGATTTTATTATTTATATATTTATTTTCTTTTTTGCAAATGAAAATTTTTTAATCATTTTATATCTTTTACTCTTTTCCAATTTACCGTTTATCATTTTCTGTTGCGACTTATAATTAATATTTTGAAGTTTTAATAACATTTTAACGAAAAATTAAATGTTTGAATTATTTTTAATGATTAAAAATTATAAATTAAAATTATATTTTATTATGTATGATCTTAGGATCTCGATTCCGATCTTATAATCCCGATTTTACAAACCCAAAAATGATCATACGTAAGATCCCTATCATAACAACCTTAAAATTACCTATTTTCTGATAATATATGAAAAGTAATTTAAATAGTGAAAAAATTAAAGAAATGTAGAAAACCGCTAGCTTCTCGTATCAACTCTCACTACTTGCTCCTAATAATATGCAAAGTGGAAACATCCTTGAATTCAATCCAGAGGTAACCAATGCAACTACTCTTTGAGGCTTTAACTAAAAAGAAACGTGGGTCAAGCAATGATGGCGGTCTTGAGTACCATTAACAGGAATAAAAAAATGAATTAATGTTAACCTGTGATTTCGTTTATGGTGAAAACCAATTTTGAAGAAGATAATAATAACTTTTAAAGCTTTTAAATAATAAATAGTTTAATTTAAATTAAAATGGTATAATATTAATCTTTCATTTGGAAAGGATCATTTAGTAACATCATATCATATGTTATTTTGAATTTTAGATAAAAAATTTAATATTAAATTAGTTTAACCTTAGTTAAATTATGACTTTGGATATAGATATAAATTTTATAATTTTGTAAGGGTATGTAAGTAGTTTTAAAATATCTAATGATATAGAAATAATATTTAAATAAGAAATTAAATATCCTCCTACATTTTTATTTATACTTATATTCCTATCATATCACATGTTGACATGTATAACATTTATTGACACATTTAATGAAATTTATTTAAATTTTGTCTACTTATGAGCATTTAATATGAGTAGGAGGATAGTAGGAATAAAATATAAAAGCATTTTTATTTAAAGTTTGTGAGAAATTAAATATACTCCTATATTATATTCATAATTATCTTCCTATCATATCAAATATTGACATGTATCATATTTATTGACACATTTAATGAAATTGATTTAAATTTTATCCATTTGTCAACATTTAATATGGGGGAGGATAATATGAATAAAATATAGGAGGATTTTTATTTAAAGTTTGTGAGAAATTAAATATACTCCTATATTATATTCATAATTATCTTCATACCATATCAAATATTAACATGTATTACATTTGTTAATACATTTAATAAAATTGATTTAAATTTTATCCACTTGTCAACATTTAATATGTGTAAGAGGATACTAGGAATAAAATGTAAAACGATTTTTATTTAAATTTTGTAAGATATTAAATATCCTCCTACATTTTATTTATATTTATCTTCCTACCATATCAAATGTTGATATCTATCACATTTATTGACACATTAAATTAAATATCAAAACGAGTATTTGAGAAATAATATTTTTAGAAAAATATTGCACATCCACACACTCACTAGTAAAATTTGTGACAATGATTTATAGTTAAGATACAGTACCTTTGGCACACCTCTATAGACATCAGAGCCTTTGGGGTTGTTGATTATAACACCACGCCTTGGGTTGCTAGGATCATTCGCAATGTCATCATACATGAATACAATTATGTTTTCATCTTTCAACCCACCCCTGGTAAGTATTTGATACGCATGACAAACATCGGCCTAAATAGATTACACATGTAATATGTTATCTTATAGTTTTTAAAATCTATAATTGAGTCCGTTAAAAATGATCACAATTAAAAAATAAACAAAAACTAAATGAAATACTTACCTGATGCCGATAGTTATCGTACCCTTTTGAACCAGCTACCAGAATGGCCCATATCGTGATATTGCCTTCTTGCTTATCTTTAATAGACCTAAACATATTGAACATGTTATGCCCGCTAGCTTCAGAGAGTCGTATCACAAGGAAAATTAGAAGTAACAAGTTGAGTTGGAAAACCATGGTCCACTTTGCCATATGAACAATAGAGTGATAAAAAAGGCAAAGAGATCAATATTAGAAAATGTGAATGCGATAAGGAATGAGAATTCTCAGGAATTGAATATATATATATATATATATATATATATATATATATATATATATATATATATATATATATATATATATATATATATATATATATATATATATATATATATATATATATATATGTATGTGTGTGTGTGAAAGGTAGTATGTAATTAATGGATATAACATATATTATGTATATTGTGTGCATATAACATTATGCAACATTACGTAATTATATATATAATATATATATATATATATATATATATATATAATATATATATATATATATATATATATATATATATATATATATATATATATATATAGAGGGGTTCAATTGAAAAAAAAAAGGTTGAGAATGAGGGAATCATTCTCAGCCACACATTTATTTTTGCCACAAAAACCTCCGTCGTACCAGCAGAAATGGGAAACGAATAAACACGTGTTTTCGAACAAAACATGTTTCCTTAAACTATGCTAATCATTACTTTAATCTATACAAAAACATAGTTTTTTCGATTTTTTTTTAATTTTTAAAAAGCTATTTTTATCGAAAAATGATTTTAAATATATACCAAAATTCATGATTTTTAATTCTCTACAAATAGATATCTATATTGATATAGTTTTAAGATAAAATAAAAAAATTATTTTTTTTTATATTTTCAGCTATCGTTATTCATAAGTGAATAAAAATGAATCAAATTTTTACTATAGTACATTCATTATTCAGTTATGAATAAAAACTATGATTATTATTATTATTTTTTTTTTACAATTTAAGTATCATTCGTATATGAATATAGCATATAATAAACATAGTATATTCGTATTTAAATATTAGACGATGCATTCACTTATGAATATTACATAATATATTCACTTGTGAATATTAGATGGTATATT